GAAAACAAGGTTGGCACTAAAAAAGTACCAAAGTGTCGATCACCTCAAGCAAGCGCTTCGCCGGGAATGGGCCAAAATACCGCAGAGCAACATTCGGGCAGCGTGTGAGGGTTTCATTGACCGTTTGAATTCCCTTTGTGACACCTCGAAATATACATTTTAGACCCCACAAAGCATAAAATTCTATATTGATTTATCAATATCCGCCCGTCTGTCCGTTTATCCGTCTGTGGAAATCACTCTAGCTTCCGAACGAAATGAAGACTTTTGGTATTGTAAATGAGCCATGTAGGTCTACGTCTTCGTATAGGCCCCATATAACGGTACCTTCCGTTAAGCGATATTTTGATGATTTTAGAGACATTATTTACCGGAACTATTTCAAATTTAGTATTTGAAGTTCGTAATGAATGCTACAGCCTATGACAGAAAATTGTCTGTCTTCGTATAGCTCTCATATAACGGTACCTACCGATATTCGGTATTTTGATGAATTTAGCGACATTATTCACCGAAATTGTTTCAAATTTGATATTTAAAACTCGAAATGGATAGTACAGCCTAAGACAGAAAATTTTCTGTGCAGGTCCACGTTTAATAACCACCATGGTACCTCCTTATATTTGGTATATCGATGATTCTAGCTACACTATAAACAGATTTTTTCGCATTTGAATATTGTAATAGCTTGTGACAAAAGTTGCCTATGCAGGTCCACGTCGTCGTTTAGACCCTAATATACGGCTACATTCGTTATTTTTAAGATTTTAACAGAATTGTTAACGGATTTTATTTTTTTAAATGGTTTAATTTGTACCAAATGGTGGAGGGATTTCGGCCCGGCCGAACTTACAGCTTTTTTACTTGTTTGCTTTCATTCAATAAAATTAAAAAAATTAATAATAAAATTATGGCGTTTGACTTTGTTGCAGTTTTTTTTATCTCACCCTCTATATGGAGAGCATTTCAACGATTTTTCTCGAATGTGGTAAATTTTCATAAATGTTCGTCTTGTCCCCCTCTCCTGCTGTCCCTCCACGCCACTGATTTATGTTTAGTGCTATATTTGTCCATAATAGAGAGTTTATTTGTTTAAGAGCCATTGAGAGCCCTTTCCATTTCTTTTTTTTCATAAATATTTAACAAATTCCCACAAACATTGAGTGATTCTTAGCATTGAATAAAAATATTACAAAACAAAGAGGAGGAAACAACAAAACATCTACAACAAACAAATTTACAAATAAGCCGGCCGACCGACCGTCCAAACAAAGAGAATAACATTAGCAAATACTACAAAAAAAGGGAATAACAAAAAACGATTAACATATTTGAAATGGATATAAATCGCCCGGTTTTTCCAACGAAACAGCAACGACGGCTTTGTTAAACTTTCAACGGAAAGTAAATGTGAAAAAAAAAGAAATGGAAAGAACAGAGGAAATCCCTAAAATAAAGAACAAACATGAAATTTGAAATATTCACAATGGTATTTATTTGCAAATGTTCTTACCTCATTTTATTCGGTTGTTGTTCTTGTTAGTGTTGTTGTTATCGGCATTGTTAATGTTGTTGTTGTAGTTGTATATTGTTGCCACATTCGATGATGCATAATCTCCAGGGATAAGATAAGGCCACTGACCAAGATACCAAACATCAGAACCAAAAGAGGGGGGGGATATTTAATGGCCGGATTTGTTTGTAAATATTTATGGATAACACACTGAAGACACATATTATCAAAGAAATTAGCAAATATTTGCTTGTTATCACCACCATATGCACATCGTCTAGATTGTCAGGAATATGATAACTTATAAATAATATTATGAAGGTAGTTCATATCTTGAACAAAGCATCACGTTAAAACACAATTTTAACTTTCGACCCTAAAATAGGTCGAAAGTTGTTTTTTATTTTATTTGAACTATTAAATAAGTAAAAGATGTCGAAAACGTAGAAACGTCAGGCCAATAAAAAAAATTGTAAACACAATACACATCTAGAAGTCGGCAAGCAAGCTTAAAATTGGAAAATACGAAGAGTTCAGAATTTAATAAAAGGTAAAAGTAGGAAGTTTTATAAGTAAACATAACTTTTTCTTTTGAAAATGATATATAGAAAGAACTACTCCATCCTGTTGAAACTGTTTTTGCCAATATTCTTTGATTTTTGTGAACAAAAAAATCGTTCAACATGATCTGATAACTTAGCGGCCATTCCTTGATCATTTTCGAAAGAAAATGTCCCTATTTTGTCTCAGGACCAAAGTCAAAGTTGGACGATATTGATCTGCAATGTTATCTCTCAAAATGGTAATCAATTGGCCACGGAGATCTTATGATTTAAAACCTAACAACTTTTTGTGATTTTACACTTTGTGTAAATCCAAGAACTGAAAGGTGGAATTCATGAGGCTATCGGGAACATAGACCAGCCGCTATTCAATTTGATTATGGAAAATACAGGGTTGCCCATATTCGACGGACCTTTGGGCCCTTTGGGCCCATTCCAATCGACGAGGTTTGTCCGCAGGCAACATTCTTTGTGTCAATTGAATTTCGTACGGGAACAAATGCAAATCAATGCGAATAATCCGTTGTAAAGTGGACCGAACCATGCCCAACTGCTGAGAACGGCGTTTTTGGGATGTTCTTGGGGACCTCTCAACACTGGCTCGTACGGCAGCGATATTCTCGGCCGATCGCCTTGGTCGACTTTTATATGGCCTCTTCGGATTAGAAAGAGCCTTACCAGTCGAAAATTTTTCGTATAAACGCTTAGTGGTGTCCTTAGAAGGCGCACTTCTCACATTTTTTAAAACCACATTGAGTTTTCACAATTGTCTTCTTCTGTTGAATGTAAATTTCAACTATTTCAGAGTGCTCGCGAGGCGCGTATTGATTCATGGTAAAAATCTGCTTGGACTGACGCTTCAAACGCGGTATGTCATTAAGCGATGTAACATCTCTGTCAAAAGTTATGGCGTTGCCAGATGGGTCCGTCGAATATGGGCAACCCTGTATGTGTAATATAGAAGCTATACGAAAATATGACCTATAAAGATAATTATCTATCGAAGAATACAGTACCTAATGTCAATACCAAATACCAGCTTTTAAATAATATACGAAGACGTGCACCTGTACAAGGAATTTAACGATCTCCAAGTATCAAATTTGAAACCATTCCGGTTGAAAATGTGGCACAAATCATCGAAATACGGAATATCAGTTGGTATCGATCGTTATATGGGGACTACACGAAGATGAGAACCTGTACAGGCAATTTTCTGTCATAGGAAGCAGAACCTATTACGAACTCCAAACACAAAATTTGAAACAATTCAATTTAAAAGTGTGACACAAACCATCAAAATTCCGATTATATGGAGGTACAGTTATATGGGTACTATACCACAACTTAGACATATATATAAAGTTCTCTGCAATGATGTTTCCTACATCCTGATTTCCTACAAACTCTCAATTTACTGCAAATTTGGTTCGAAATTGTAACTAAAACGCCCAAAATAACTTAAATCTGGCGGTACAGTTGTATGGCGACTATTCCAAAACGTGAACCTATATGGCTCATTATACCCAGTGTCAAATGGCTACAGAGGGTATATCACTTGATATAGCCAAAACGTGCCTCATCAAAATAACGGTTTTAGACCCTGGGTCTCTTTGGAGACCAAATGTGCGTTTCAGGACATTTGGAGTCGATCTAGGGATATCCGTCCATCTGTTTGTCCGTCGGTCTGTCTGGCTGGTGCTCACGATAACTCTCGAAGGGAGTAATTGATTATGTCCAAACTTGGTGCATCAAGATATTATTGTCAAATTTAGATCGAGTTCGGAGATGGGCAACATCGGACCACTGCTTCTGGTACTTTCCAACAACAGGTCCAAAATTTTCAGAGAGAAAAATTTATGTGATAAAAAGAAAAAGAATCATTCGATTTTGTTCAAACTTTACAAATCCAAATATTTTACCAGGGGTTGGTCAGGTGCGAAAATGGACAATAACGGCCCACTCAAGTACCTACCCCACAAAAGGTCAAAATAATAATAATAATAACTCTTATAAAATTTGAAATAAGAGTCTGATTGTCTTCAAATTTACACATCGCAACATTTTAATTGACACAAAATATGGTGGAAGGTTGGATATATCGATTCGTTGGTACGTTCCTCAGAATGGGTCAAAATTTTGAATAACCATGAGGCTCGTAAAAGGGGAAATAAGCGTCCGATTCCTTTCAAAATCGGCACATTTAAATATTCCCATCAACTCAGGATATTTTGTGAAAATGGTAGATATCGACCCACTTCTTCTAATACCTCACCACAAAGGGTCAAAATTGTAAATAATCAAAACGAAAAAAAATCCAAAACTAGCATCCGATTAATTCTAGGTTTCACGCATTCTAATATTTCCACTAATACAAGATCTGGTATAGAGATGGAATATATCGGTTCACTTCTTTTGGTACATTCAACCCCCATCCCCAACAAGGGGTCAACATTTCAAATAATTATAACCTATACAACATGCGAAACAAGTGCGCGATCAAACTTTCATTTAACCACTCTGAGTAAACTTTTAACTAACAATTATTCTTATAGAATTATAAATACATTTTCGATATTCTTTAAATTTTGCACATCCCAATATTTTTATCAGTATAACGTGAAGTAGAATAATTTGGTCCACTGCATCTGGTACATTGAGGTCATTTGAACATTTTCCAAAAATTATCACATATCTCATATAAAGTAGAGGTAGTAATCGATATTGGTCAGATTTGATACCTTGTATTTATATCAGACTTACGTCAGATACAAAATTGACAATATTGGCCGACCCTTTTGGTACCTCCCTCATAAAGAGTCAAAAGTATGAATGAATAAAAACAGACATTGGCTGTTTTTAACTTGTTTTCAATACCAAATGTCCAGCTTTCAATCATATTTTGAAAAAGGTTGTCCAAATTAACACTCGTATAATGATATTGCCGAAGACACTACATACCTAAACTGTAAGAACTTTAAGAAATCTTAATCCGACGTATTCCAAAAATGTGGTTATGGGGAGAACTTGCCCCCTTTGTATTGGTTACTTTGCTATGTGAACTTTGATACACATGTCTTCTATTTTTGTCTCTACTTTCTGCTGGATTTTTCCTGTAGATATCTATTTATGTATAATTTTTAAATACCTACCCGTAGATCATCCGTGTGCAATTGCTTGACACAACGTGGTCTGGGGGAATGCCAAATTTTGTGCTCATAATCCATAAGACCAACCTCGGTGACACGTCTTAAGCTGAAATTGAAAATATTTATAACGAATGATCAATAAATTCTAATCATAACACAAACTTGCCCATATGTTATAGGTTTACGCAGTGGTGAACCCTTCTGAACAATGCTAACCATTTTCTGGGGTGGAAATAGCTGGATCTCCGTTAAATCGCAAATTTCCTTTTCGGTAAATGTATCGGCCATGATTTTATAGGCCGTGGCAACATCAACGTGAAAGGCAAAATCTAAAACTCGATTTTCAATTTCTTATGAATTTGTAAATGGTTTGAGTATACTCACGTCCTTTTTGATTTTAGCCACCCCATACTCGGGTTCATACCAATTGGAGGCCTCATTGGTCTTTGCATGGGCACCCGTCTCATGGCTATGTAAAATATCACGATAGGCCTTGGCCTTCTGGGCCTCAGTCATGGGAATAATGGATGTGGGTAGAACAACATTATCGGGAGGGGCATCCACAAACCCTGTACCATCTGCTGTCGGCATGCTGGTTACCTTTTTGGCATACAACTCCTGGGCATCGGGGTCTTTGGTACGCTAAATTAAGAATTTTCGTAAAAATATCTAAAATTTTTTTTTCTAATTTTTAAATAACTAAAAATCAAAGAATTATAAAAATCTGAAATTCGACCTTCATTTTTAAATTATTTCAAATGTAAATTTAATAAAATTGACTTCGAAGTCTTTTTATACCGTACAACACTATGTGTTGGGGGTATTATAAGTTTGATTGGGCCAAAAATTATGTAACACCACGAAATATTGATTTCCCACATAGGAAAGTATATATGGATCTTCCTATCTCGCCGATCTGAGTCGATCTAGCTATGTATGTCCGTCCGTCCGTCTGCCCATGTTAATTTGTAATCACTCTACAGGTCGCAATTATGGTCCGATCTTCACGAAATTTAAAATGGAGGTGGGGCTAGGGTCAGAATAGAACCCTATTTCTTTTGGTGATAATCGCATAATATTTAGGGGTTGAAATGGACCAAAAACTGAAAAAATTCCTGATTTTGCACTTGCTCTACAGGTCGCAATTATTGACCAATCGACGCGGAATTTCGCATGTAGGTAGAGGTTAGGGCTGGCCAGAAGCCTACCCATTTGGGTGGTCATCGGATAATATTTAGCGGGTAAAATAGACCATATCTTTTTTGTTGAAAAAATTCAAAAATTTTCATTAAACCGCGAATATTTTAAATCCCGGCGAAATCACAAAGCCATGACAAGGTTACTTCTGATCTTACATTGATGTTAACATCCAACAAAACGGATATATAGCAAAATATGTGCGATGTATATGTTTATCAAAGAAGATATGCTTGAAAAATCTCTTATATGTCGAGAACGGCTGAACTGATTTCGACAGTTCTCATTAATTCAGAATGGCCTCTTGGCAGGAAACATAAAACATCTAAAAAATCGCATAAAAATAACTCTCTAAAGATGAAAATATTGATTTTGTAAAATTTTCTCATATTTTTTCCATTTTGTCATATTTTTGGCATATTTTCATTTTGAATTAAACATTTGGTAATATTTCTACAGCTAAAAAAAACTGAGTAGTTAGGATATCAGGATATCATATATAGATCGCATTTATGGCCCGATCCTTACGAAATTTTGCATGGAGATAAGATGAGGGTCAGAATAAAGGCCTATTCTTTTTGGAGATGATCGCCATATATTTAGGGGTTGAAATGGACCAAAAAACTGCAAATTGGCAGCAGGTCGTAATTATAGGGGTTACTGGGCATTGCAAAAGCCAAGCAGTTTTGGATGGCCATCCAAAAATATTCAATGTGTGAAATAGATTGCCAACTTTTATAGACAAAATACGAAAATGTCCATTCCAGGGACTTTTTGGAGAATTCACAAATACAGGAAAGACGCACTTCTGACTATTTCGTTAAAGCTGATTTCGTTGAAGAATATAGTAAAATGGCTGTATCTCATATAGATGCGTTTCAGTCAAAAAACAATAATAAATATTAATCTTTTGCCACTTCTTAGAGATTATAGGTCTTTGGGAAATATTGGTTCTAGATCTAGGAAGACCACTTACGTGCAACATCTACCAATAAATTGGAAATGAGCAAATGAGTTTAAGTTGCTATTATCCGAAAATTAGAGAACGAAACCTGATGATTTTCTTTTATCATTTGTCACAATATCTTGTGGAATTCTTTCGAGTATCTCGCCTATATAAACTGTATCGTTTATTATAGTGTTGTAGGGTATTCAACGGTCGGCCCCGCTCGACTGTAGCCTTTGCTTACTTGTTTTCTTTTTGTGTTTCACTTATTTAATTTTTATATTTTCGATATTTCATCTTCCGTCAATTAAATAACAACAAAATAAAGATCTTGAAGATCTTAATTTGAGATATTATTTAAAATATATTATTTTTTCTTACCAAAAATAATCCCTGTTGTAGACAATATCCTCTATGCCAATTTCCAAAGATGAATGTATCAGATCCCGTAAAGTCCTTATGGTCTTGGGTTTCTCCATTAGCAATGTGCCCACAATACTGGCCGAATAGAACTGATAAATTGCAAATGAAAATAGCAACGAAGTTGTTACAATACAGCGACCAGAAAATGAGCGAGTTGAGAATGTTAAACCTTTCCGAAGATACACAATTAAATTTAATTTATTTTTAAGTAAATCCCACAAAATCTTACCTGCTGACATATGGAACCCACATAAAACAAAATCGACTCCAAAAACATTCCCACACGTTGTGTGGCCGAATTATCATCTCTAATGTCATAGCCACAAAGTAAACCACCCCAGCGAACCAGACGCTTTTTGAAACTGCCATGGGGGAATGATTTGG